GAAGCTACTAGGAACAAGTGCATCGCTTCTAGTAACAAGTGCCTTACGAGTAGTAACAAGAAGCTAGTAGTAACGATTCTTCACTCCAACTGCCAGGCCCACCGAAGAGCCGGGGCTCGAACAGCTTTTGGAGGGCGCGGTGGATCGACCACCCGAGCCGCCACCTTGGGGGCTCATAGGCACGTGCAAGCAGTGCAAGCAGTGCAAGCAGCGCAAGCAGCACAAGCTAGTGGGGTGGGTTGGGGTATGGACTAGATCATAGGACCATCATGAGACACTACTGTGTGTTTGTGATGTTTGGCGTTTTCTTGTTTCCTTTAGTTGGCTGGTGGGTTCAGGGGGTCTTCTCAATGACGGGCTGATGCTGGTGGTCTTTGCACATGCAGGTGGACTGCTTAGTGTGCCTCTCGGCATCATTTGCATCGCAATGCTGCTGAACAAGCGGCTCGGCCTGAGGAGAGTGGCACCTGAGACCATCGGATCAGTTGACCTCACTCGAAAAAACCAGGCAAATGCCAGGCAGGCTAAGGCGGTCCAGACCTTTCACAAGTTTTCTGCTGGTTTTGCACGACCAAGCGTTTTGACCCACCTCGTTGCTGGTACTGTAGATATTATGTTGGATTTTAGCGTGTGTTTCTTGCTGTGGATGTTTTATTTGATGTTGGTTTTGGGCCAGGTTGTTTTGGTTTCAGCCTTCTAGCTGTAACTGGTTGTTGGATGAGGTGGATGACTGTTTTATAAGGCTTTGTTGTGCTTTTTGGTTCGATTTTGGGTTTTGCTAGTTCCAAGACGTCTTGTGCTAAGGGTCCAAAGATCTTCAAAACAATTGTTTGGATTGCATCGTTCACACCATGCAAACAGAAAAACTAACATAACACAAAAACACAGTAAACCAACAGAGTGTCCGGACAGAAGCCCTTAGGGCCTAGCCAAGGGCCTCACCGGGGCCCACCGAGTGAACTCAACTGCTCCAGGCTGGGCGTCTTCCGCGAAGCGATTGAGCCACTCTTCCACAGCTCCAAGGCTCGGGGCGTGGCGCCTCCAACCTCGTAGCGATGGCCTCTTCAGAGAAGTAGGAACAAGGGCATCGCTGCTAGGGGCTCCTGGCATCGCTACGAACAAGGACGCTACTTTATTTTTTCGGCACAACTGAAGGAGGTGGAGTTCCATTCGACGTCCCCGAATAGGTCGATTCTTTGCAATGTTTGCTTCGTTGCCAACCGAGCCCACCGAGCATTGTTCAACGGATCTCGTGCCAGGCGACCGTGGTGGCCCATGACACCTTTATTGCTCCTAAGCAGATATCGGGGCATGGAGAGCGGGGAGAGCGGGGAGACGAGTTTGTTTTTTTGGTCTAGTTTTCTGAAGCATACTTGAAACCTTCCCACACCCTGCGCCTCGGGGGTGGGAACGGCCCGAATCAGACCCCCTGAACAGCTTCTGTGTTTACAAGAATTTGGTTGTTGCCAAATGGTTTGGAATAATTTCCTACAAGCCTTTTGGATGGGTTGGATGGGGGTTTCTAGGGTTGAGCAACGCAACTTTCACCGGTTGCTGCGACACGGGTGACTGGAACAGAACTCATGTGCGTCAACGATCTGGTACCCCTCATGGGACCGATGTGATGTGATCCAATCAGACTGGGCATCGGCGACGAGCGAGGAACCCGACAGGTGGACGCGAAAAAACGCGTGCGACGAACCCGTCAGGAGCCTCAGAAGGATCTGATGGTGAACGGTTTGGGTATCGAATCCAAGACCTATGGCCGTGTGGAGCCTAGCACCTTGGAAGCAGGGTTTGGGTCGGGCGTGTGTGGCATGGGCAGTTGGATGACAGGATGGCAGGAATAGAGGAAGTTGGGAGAAAAGCAGGGAAGATCCTTCCAAACTATAGACTTGGTGGATAGATTCTTCCATATTCATCTCTTTATCCTCTACTTCAGGGTGGTCGTAGATGTGCGAGGTTGAGATGTAGGCCCATCACCTCCACCTCGAAGGTGACCTCCAAACAAGGGACTTGCTGAGATTTTCATATTACTTTGCATGGCCTGGTGAGGATATTCCGTCAGCTCAGGAGCTTTGGGGCTTCGGAAGCTGCATGAGGAGGACCAGGCTGTGTGATGTGGGGACTGACGCTTTTGGACCTGAGTGATCCTGATTTTGGAGTACTGACCACCCTGATTTTTGGTCTCTTCAGGTTAGACCAAGTCCTAGTCTGAGCGCAATGCTTCCGGTTTTTCTTTTGGTGCACAGTCATGATTCAGCTTTGGCCTACATATGTTGGTTTTGTTTCTACAGGCGTCGATTTCCTTCGTAAGTTCCCACACGCAGCATCTCTTGACCATCTCCACCCTCAGCTTCTCAGCTTCTCAGCTTCTTTGAGCACCCTCTGGGCTTCCCTTGCCCCTTGCGTTGCAGGTGTTGCCCTTGGCCCTGCGACAGAAGGCGGAGAACGCGGTGCCCGAAGCAGCGAACGCCGCCTGGGTGGACGAGGTCGTCAAGGAGGCGAGCTCTTCAAACAGCGCGAGGTGCTGGTCCTGGTGCTAGTCGGTGCTGGTGAACGGTTCAGTTGCATCAGCAGGTTGGAATGCTTGACCTGTGCACTGGTGACTGATGCATCTCTGCATCTCTCATGCCCAGGCAGAGATCCAGCGGGAGCGGCCACAGGTGAAGGACACGGTGGTGTTGCCTGGCACGACGTACACAGGCGAAGGCATCCCCTGCTATCCTGAGGCACGGGCCAGTGGCAGCGCGATGCGAGCGCGCCCGTCCAACAAAAGAGCGTGAGCAGTTTTGCGGTATTGGTGTCTTCTTCAGGCGCTCTCCCTAGGAACATGTAGACCACAAACAAATCAACAGCAACCTCCTTCGCAAGTGTTGGAGAACGTTATCTACTCCAAGACCCGAGTGCAGGTTATCGCACGTTTGCTTGTCCGGTCCACCGACGAACGCGCTGACCAAGAGGAGTTGGATATGCCGTACATGGAGAGCCACGCCTTAGCGGTCCAGGAGCCCAACTTGCCGCGCTCCCGGTCCTCAGGCGGTTGGAAGAAGGGCCAAGAAAAGGAAGGGGCTGATGCGGGGGTTGGGAGGGTTAGGATGGGAGGATGGGGTCATATGGCAGTCTTCCTTTTTTGAGAAGAGCTGTAGTTCAGAAGTTGGATGAAAGGGAAAGTTGTTTGAAGACAGCCAAACTGATTCTGTTTGAATTGAAAGATGTTCACTGTTCACATTTGATTTCTCTGTGTCCACCTACCAGGTATGCCAAGCCCTCTGAGCAGTGAGCATCACTGGATCAAAAAGAAGGTAACACGCAAACCAAGTGATACAAGGAAGAATGATCACAGTTTGTTGTCCATTCTAGTTTCACTCTTGAGCCACACCCAGATTCTTTCTCCACCGTTCTCGTGCTTCTTTAAGCTACCAAGCTGAACTTCTTGCTTCCTTTCTCAGCACGACGGACATACGCGTGTGCGTGCGCCAGATCGGAGCAAGAGTGTGGATGACTTCAGCTCCTCCCATCACCAGGCGGCTGGACGTCGATGATGCAACATTTAGGGTGTGAACTCTTGCAGACAGAGGGTTGCTGAAAGGCCCAACCTTTTTAGTTTTCTTTGATTGCGAATGTTCAGTCTCACCCTTCGGGTCAAAAGAGCCAGCTTGAATGCCCAGTTTGCCAACATGGACACTGATGTTCTCTATCATGGAACGCACTTTACCCCCGCAAATGGGATGTGTGTCACCCGGACCTCACTTTGTTGACGCCCCCCGCAAGAAACCCTCAAAAAGAACGACCTGCCGCTGGCCAGTCGGTCATGAGCGGGCTGCCGAGCTTGTCGCACCTTGGATTTTGACAGTGGGTGGTGGCTGGTGAGGACAACCTGGAAAACCAGTGCTAAACCAGTTTACAAGATGGTTTTCCAAACAGCAGGGGACTCCTTCCTGATCTTATAGACTTTATTCTGAAGTCAGTCTTTCCCAGGAGGATTTTCATCTGAAGCATCGAAAGCTAAAAGGATAGATCTCACTTCGGAACACCAATGTCTCAACCTTTCAATGCATAATTGAAAAAGTAACACAAAAAAGACCGTTTTCATGGACCAACAGTCTTGCCAACTTCCCTTCGAGTTTCCAGGAACACTGCCCGCAGCGCGCGTGGCAGCACCAATCGAAGTGCCTCGCCGCCTGGCTGCCGGTGAGTGATGG